GACTGGACACATATGATAGCTCAACGAAGCGGGGGCGTATTGTGTGGAAATGTCTCGCAGCCAAATACACTAAACGCAACGTTGATTCTAAATGTGGAGGGGGGGGGGGGAAACCCAGAAGAACCCGGAGAAAAATCCACGCGACCGCGGGAAGAGACAGAGAGGCAGAGAGAGAGAGAGAGACCTCAAATTCCAAAATATACAGCAGCAGGCGTCAGGGTCGGGATCGGGATGGAACCCCGCGACCTCCTGCGTACCGGGCGAGGGTGACAACGTCTCTCCACCGCGACAACTAACCGCGGGTCACCGTGGACTCCCCGTAGTGGTTGCAGCAACTCTGCCGGTTGCTTCAACTGCCGGCGACGTCTGGATCGCACGCAGGGCCCAGTGTGGGTGACTACTTTGACCAGGGCAAGCATCGCGCCTGACGAAGGCAGCAGGACGCGTCCAAAAATAAGTCGCGTCATAACCCGCCCGCTGCCGCTGCTGGGTATTTAAAAAAAAAATGTTACGGCAATTTTTGTAAGTAGCGCAAGTTTGTAAAAGTGATGCATTGTTCATTTTATTTAAAGCACTTACCTCACCCCCCCTCCCACCCAACCGCGCTACGAACATCCGTCGCCTCTCGTAATTTTTGCAGACATTTCATTTCTCACAGTTTACTGGAGCAAGACGCGAACGCGTTCAGATTTCACCCCGTTGTTAATGTTATTAAAAACTGTTCGTGTATTAAAATCAAGTATAAGTGTGTCTCTCTCTCTCTCTCTCCCCCCTTCTCCCTCTCTCTCTCTCGTGGCCAGCATCCCTCGGACATTGGCATTGAGCTCATGAACCACGTGGCTGCAGCCATCACGGACAGTGATTGAGGTGGCGCGTAAAAACAATTGATCGCGCACAGTCCGCACTCCTCCGCTGGAGCACATTACGCCACTCAACCCGATAATTAGGCGCATATCAGCAGCTACGCACACCGCTAATTCACTCGGGCGGGTGACGCGGCTCAGCGGGAGCGCGTTCGCCGCCTGGCGTGAGCAGAGGTTCGCGGTTCGGCGCCTACAGGTAGCCCTGGTTAATACTCTGGGTTTTTATTAACCTAAAAAAGAAACCGCGTCGTCTGCTTTACGGTGGACGTTAAAGATCCACTGACGTCATTTCGCAACAAAAAAATGTATCCTCTTAAATACTCAATTATATACGCAGCAAAATCGCAACCCACTGCAAAAACGAGCCTCCCCGAAGTGAATTGCGATGCGGAGAGTCGGCTTAACTCGGAGCAGCGTTCCACTCGCGTTCTATGCATGCATTTAGGTCTCGTGCTATGGGGCCGTCCATAAATGACGTCACGCACCTTAGGGGGGGGTGTCGAACATTTGTGACGATGTGTGACGAGGTGGTGGGGGGGGGGGTGAAAAATGTGACGTCACATCAAAATGCGCAACTTGAATAAATATAGACAACACGTTCCACTTATAATAAATGTTTTCTCCTACAACATCAGAGTGCAGCGCCACATTAAATACGCACTACAATGACAATAGTTTGAAGCGATTTGAAGCATGTTTTATTTTTTGGGGGGGCAGAGCTTTGTGACGTCATATTTGAGGGGGGGGGTGTGGGGGGGGTAAAAAATCGTCCAAAATCGCGTGACGTCATTTATGGACGGCCCGTATGAACACGAGTAAATCGCCTCCACAAACAGACATTGCATCCACCAAACCCCGCTAGAGGCCTTCACAGGCTTTGTGGTAGCAAGTGCTATTTGCCGACACGGCACACGAGGGGTTGGGTGGCCAGCAATCACGCTCGGCCGCCTTTGTCTCCCAAGTGGCGATGTTTACACACCGCAGCAGCTACTCATTTGAGGCTGAGTCGACCTAGGGGAGGCTCAGGACCGGTTCCGGTATTCGTCACCGATGTTGGTCGTGAGCGGGCATCGAACTCCGGTCGCCGTGTTCGTAGCGCAGCGCGCTAACCATTGTCCCACCGCTCACACACACACACACACACGCGTTATCTCACACACGCAAAATCCACGTAAACTAAAAAAAAGCATCAATCACGCAGAAAATTAAATATGGCCTCGCGCGGCTGAGTGTGTGTTTTGTGTAAGAGAGGACATCATCTTTCCGGTAGTTTAATCAGCCTAATGCGTGCGTCTCTCTTCCCCCCCATGCATCACCACCACCACCGCCACGCGTTGGCCGCCGCGTGCTACGAATGACGTCTCGAACTCATCTTGAACACGGCGCGCCTTCATCATCACAAGCATGAGTCGTGCTAAATCCACTGCTGGATGGATGAAAGTCTTTGATGACCCCGCGACGATCACAACAATCCGATCGGCTCGGTTCGCGGTTTGTCACGCGTTTTTGCTCGTGTGGATCGGTTGCACACATTGTCACGCGCATCATAGGTGTACCATATTATAATGGTATTGCGATAGATGGTGATGACGATGATGCTGATGTCACAGTGTGGATCTACATTCATTACATATTTCAAACGACAGCACAGAGAGCGGACTGCGGTGATCCACATAAGATAGGTCATCATCAACTATCATCATCATCGGACGGGATCAATCCACTGCTAGATGGACGAAAGGCTCTTCAAGAATCCGCCGCGACAAGTTTGTCACGATCCCTGTACAGGAGGGCGATTCCATCGCTCCATCCCATCGCTCCATCTCCACGCTCCATCGCATCGCTCCATCTCCACGCTCCATCGCATCGCTTCATCTCATCGCTCCATCTCATCGCTCCATCCCATTCCTCCATCCCATCGCTCCATCCCATCGCTCCATCCCATCACTCCATCCCACCACTCCATCTCACCGCTCCATTTCACCGCTCCATCGCATCGCTCCATCTCATCGCTCCATCCCATTCCTCCATCCCATCGCTCCATCGCATCGCTCCATCCCATCGCTCCATCCCATTCCTCCATCCCATTCCTCCATCCCATTCCTCCATCCCATTCCTCCATCCCATTCCTCCATCCCATCGCTCCATCGCATCGCTCCATCCCATCGCTCCATCCCATCGCTCCATTCCATCGATGAAAAGGAGGACGCTCGAAAGCGTTGTTCCATCCCGTGGCTGCCACTGTTATTATTGACCATCAGCCATCAGCTCCATCAAATAGCCATGACGTGCCCTGTCCGACCATTGCCCCCCACTTGATATTATTAGCGGGTTGAATTATGTCAATAACCTGCGCACGTTCTCTGATACGCGTGTTCCTCTCTCTGACTCTCTCAGTGGAATTCCAAGCGTTCACCAACCCACGCGTCTCGCCACGCACACTTCAGTGTTTGTTGCTCTATATTTGTAGTTATTGGCCCATTCAAAATGAAGACTGATATCTCAGTGCGTGAGTGTGCGTGTGTGTGTGCAGTCATCTTTAGTCAGTCGACCCACGGCCCGTGGGTCTGTCCCGTAACCTCCTGCCAGCGGCAGTTCGACACTTCTCGTAGCCTTAGCGTGCACATAGCCTGGCACAAACGCCGTGGTGACGTCACCGCCACTTAGTGGCGAATGGCGTTTTTTGTTGTGTGCACGTGTTCCACGTGACTTACACAGCGCCAATTGCTGACGTGTTTAACAATCATCGGGCGTGGAACGAGTGGATTGGAATGGGGAGGACTAAATTTGTAAACGTGGGAAAAATGTGTCGTGATGGTGGGGGCGGGGGAGGGCACGAGTTGGGAAAACCCTGCAGGAGTGATTATGGGACGCCGCGGTGTCGAGATGTCATCTCCCTCGCCTGGTATGGAGGAGGTCGTGCGTTCGATCACGACCCTGACGCCTGCTGCTGTATATTTGGAGTTGGCGTGTTCTCGCCGCGGTCGCGTGGATTTTTCTCCGGGTATTCCCTCCACAAATACAATCGAAGATCGGTGGAGGGAATATTTGTTCGAAAACGCTAATATCACCCTGAATATTATATTTGTATTTTACCAGGTAAGGCCTTGTAGCTCTTTTTGAAAAGCGACCTGGACACAAATGACAGCTCAACGAAGTGGCTTATCATTTGGATATTTATAGCAGCCAAATACTCCAAACGCAAGTTTATAAATGTGGAGCGGGAGAAAAATCCACGCGACCACCGTCAGGGTCTAGATCGAACCCACGACCTCCTGTATACCAGGCGAGGTAGTTAACATCTCGCCAGAATAATCGCCTCATTGTGGATCCCGCCACTACGCAGCCATCAGCAAGTGCACTGCTCCCCCAACATCGGGACTGGCCGAGGCCTGTGCAATCAGTCACCTTCTCCGCAAACGGGAAATAAAAGAATCAGCAAATCATCCAAACAATCAGGACGCTCACTGCTCCGCAAACAGCGGGCTCCCTTACATCGCACCCGCACTGGGCAGGGCAGGATGGGGGCGGGGGGGAGGGGTGGTCCAAACCAATCATCACCTTTCGGAGGTCCATCAAATGAGTGCGACTGAGAATAGGTTTTCCCCTTTTTTCTGGCAACAAAACAGGTGTTAAGATGTTAAAAGACCAAATTGAAAGATTTTACAAGGATTCATGTCTGCTTTAACCACAATCATTGTGGTCAGAATGCAAAAAAACCTATTCCGATAATATATGCATTGTCTTTGAAACTGATTGGTCCTCACCAGAACAGCTTTCTATTGAGCCTCGTCTCAAACGGTGTTAGACCAGAGGACGCCAAAAGGCGACTAAAAAAAGCTGTCTCTGGTGTGGACCAATCAGTTTCAAAGACAATGCATATATTATCAAAATTTATCAGAATATATTTTTTTATTTGCATTCTGACCACAAGTATTGTGGTTAATGCAGACAGGATTCCTTGTAAAAGGTTTCAGTTTGGTGTTTTAACATCTCAACACACCTGTTTTGTTGCCAGAAAAAAGGGGAAAACCTATTCTCATATTTTTGGGTACTGGCAAAGGAGGTCCCGTGATGGGTACGACTTTATAAAATTCTCACCACCCCCAACGAAAAAAACGATGCGCCCCCTCACGCCCGAGTGACTTGACGCGAACTTGGACAGGATGCCACTCGCAGGGGGTGAATGAATCGACGTGATTTTTGTTTCTTCTCTCGGATTTCGGAAACCACCGCTCGTCACGCTGCGCGCCGCCGTCCCCGATTCGTTGAAACGTGTTTCGTGGTCCCGATTTTCGGGGCCCGCGAATCAACCGGCGAAAGCATTGGTCGCGAAAGCCTTAGGTGTTTAACCTTTGGGGTAAGTTCACGGTTCGAGCGGCAACTCCCACGAACATCAGGGCCACCATCAGCTGCGGTCGAGATGACGGCCGTACGTGCCCGGTAGGAGATAAGCGGCGAGTCGTGTGCCTTGCAGTGATTTAGCCGTCCCGTTCCGAGGAACCACGTCTTAAACGGTGGCGCCCTTTGCATGTTTAATACCTGGCAGTTGACCACCGTTGGTTCGAGCAATCCTGACTCCGCTGATGAGACCACTGCGTGTCGAAACGCGCTTCAGAGTTTCGGGTGGGTGGGTGGGTAGGTGTGTGTGGGGGAAGGTGGCTGAATGAATCGAGGCTGGCCCCAATTATTCACTCGCAGAAGGCAGGTGGGAGGCCTGCTGGGTTGTGTGACGAATGCTCTTCGGTGTCCACGTGGAGGGACGGATACAGGTAGAGCTGTCCATAGCGGGATGCGGGGCCCAGGGAGAAATCCAACTGCGTGGGACCCCCGACGCCTTCAAACTAAACCAGAAGTTTTACATCTGACACCGCCACCTCGAAGCGCCCCCCCCCCCGCGGGGCCCGGGGCGGTCGCCCCGATTCGCCGTACCTCCTAGTGACTGCTCTGCTCTAGGACGCACGAAGGAGGCGTGCTGCTATCGTCTTGCATCGTCTCATTGTGCCACCCATTCCGTCGACCGCCCGTTACGTTCCGGCTTACTGCACCTCTGATTGCCGTAGTTGGAATTCGACAGTTATAATAATAATCGTCGTGATGATGATGGTGGTGACGATGATGATGGTGATGATGATGATCATGATTCGGATGCCCTTCGTTTGCACGGGAAAGTCTTGCACCAAGTCTCCAGGCTCGTTATAAGAAGGGCGGGGGGTGGGGGCTTTCTGCTTCTGCGATGTTTGACCAATGGCGTTCACGTCACCCGTGTACGTGATGAATCATCGTCGTGTCGTTAAGCTTCTCGCGTAGACGCACTGCTGGATGTATCGTTCGCACCGTGTTTTCCCCCCTTTGCTTACCACCGCAGTGGAGGAAGACGGAGAAACCCCGGGTGGAAGAGACGGGAGAAGATGGAAAACAAAAAGCGCCACGTGTAAGCCAAAGAGGAGACGTCGTCAGAGACAAAGTTCACGAACTCACTTCCACTCCGCTGTCCTGCCCAATCTTGGCCGCCACCTCTCCACTCATGGCCGAGGGTGGTGGCGGGTGGCGGGTGGGGTTGGGGGGGGGTTGGGGATTTTCATTTAAAAAAATCTCGGTGTGGTCCACCAACCCCTTGCCTTCAAAAAGGGTCCCGAATCGCACCCGTGCGCCACTCGCAAAGTGATCAGTTAATTTATTATTTATTGCAGCATTATTTATTTATTTGTCCGTTGAAGGAGGGGGGCGGGGTCCTGACCCCCCCCTACACCCCCCCCCCCGGATGTTCTACGTCAATCAACCCCCACCTCTCATCCCTCTCGCTCTCTCTCTCTCTGTGGGGCTGGCAGAGGGGGAGAGGAGGATGGAGAGAGGGTGGAGAGAGGATGCAGGGGGTGGAGGTGTTGGTGGGGAGGGGGACCTGACGTGTATTTAAGAAGTCGCGACTCCACGGCCACTCGATGTTCATCTGCCCGGCGTCAGGAGCGAGCGAGCGACACAGAGAAGGAAAGAGAGCCTACAGAGAGAGCGCGAGAGAGAACGGGAGCGAGGGACAGCGACACAGAGAGTTGCCGCTGAAGATTTAGTGTGAGAAGTGACGAATTAGATATACTCGATACAGACCCACGTGTACGCAAACGGTGAGTGTACGCCATGGATGCACGCACACACACACGCGCGTGCACTTAAGGCGCAAAAAAACCCACAACTGTGCACATGTACATATTGATATGAGAAGTTACGTGATGTTACGTCCTTCATGTATATGTTACGTCATTATCATCGTCGTCATCATCATCACCAGTATTATTATGAATCATCGTTTGTGTTTTGTAACGCGTTGTTGCCAGATTAGACGTGACGCCGACACGTCCTAAACACGTGGTCACTGACATCCGTGATGTGTAACACGGGAGGGGGGGGGTTCCCCCTCTTATTATTATTTTCAGTAAATTAATCGCAAAATGTCATTTTAAATGAAAAACGCGTTAAGTGTAATCACTCCCGTGACATAATTTAATACAACGACAAAAAGGCAATTACAAAATCTACACATATCTTAATGATCTCAACGAGAATGATTACCACGATGTACAGCGCCCTTTGCCAATCCACTGGCGTTCGGGGGGTCCATCCCCGCGGCCTGGCTGCGGGTCGTCAGGGGGGCCGTTTCACTATGCTTCACCACGCCGGTCGCTGTGGATTGACGGACGGATAGGAAACACCTGGGAGCTTAGCGCACAGTAGGACGAGACTGCGCATGTTGCTCTTCTGCCCTGTGCTGCATCGAAAACATTGCCCCCCCGCAGGATGCTGTAACCACCAGGGTTCGTGCGCGTGCGTGCCGGTTGCTCATCCGTCAGAGCGCTATCCAGGCTTAGTCCTGATTAGCTTCCCAGATCTGATGAGAATCCTGAAATATTCCAGGGCGAATAGGCCGCCGATGCTCAATGCGCGTCAAGTTGAATAGCGTCGAGAGCACGGAGGGGAGGGAGGAGAGCCTTGAGTGGCCCTGGTGGAGCCGAGGTTATTTTTCTGCAGTTGGTCCCACACCATCATCATAAACATCACCATCAATAATCACCAACATCATCATCATCGCCAGCATCACGACCATCATCATAATATCACATCTCACACACACATGCATCATCACCACATCATAATCACGCATCACAACATCATCCTCATCATCACATCATCTCATCATCACCACAATCAATAATCACCACCACCAACATCATCATCGCCATCATCATCGCCAGCGCCAAGACCATCATCATAATAATCACTGTCATCCACAGCATCACCATCATCCTCGATCATCACCACCATCATCATCATCACCATCAATATCAACCATCAATAATCACCACCACCAGCATCATCATCGCCAGCGCCAAGACCATCATCATAATAATCACTGTCATCCACAGCATCACCATCATTCTCATCATCACCACCATCATCACCACCAATAATCACCATCAACATCATTATCATCGCCAGCATCACGACCATCATCATAATAATCACTGTCATCCTCATCATCACCATCATCCTCATCATCACCACCATCATCATCACCACCACCAATATCACCACCCCCATCATCATCATCATCGGTCCACTATCATCATCGTCGATGTCCCAAGGCTTCATGTTTTTGTTTTTTGTTTGTTGCGGTTGCACCTGATTCAAGAGCCGAATGGCTCACATGGCTATACCTAATAAATGAACTTGAACTTGAACTAGTCCTCCACCACCCGGAGCTCACGTCTCACGTCGCTCCATCGCCTGCACGAGCCAATCGCGGCGTCACGCCCGCGAGTGGGGCACGTGGCAGGCTCTGGGAGCCACGGCTGACGAGCGTGGACTTTCCCTCCACATTTCAATGGATTATTTTTAAAATATATCTACATATACATACACTTTGATCTCCAGATATCACTGCAGTTTGTTTTTGATGTTTTCGTTGGTTCGACGTGCGGAGTCTTCTCATCGTGGGTATGCGTATATAGAGAGAATCATGTGCGCTCTCCACTAAGAGCACAGGCACCCGAGTTCGAACATCAGTGGCGATAGCTGAGCCGGTCCTGGGCGCCCCCCCCCCCCCTCGAACCCTAACAACGGTTGCCGTGTGAACAAAATCGGCACTGACAATTGTTTTTTTACCCTTCTATCTGGCAAAACAAAACTGACACCTTTTTAAAAGGAGTCATGTTTGCATAGACCACAATACCTGCAGTCATAATACAAACAAAAGAACATAACTCTGATGATGTGCACTGTCCTGGAAGTTGATTGGTCCACACCCGAGACAGCTTTCCTTAGAGCCTAGTCTCACATGGTGTTGGACCAGATGACGCCAAAAGGCGCACAACTCAAAGACAATGTACCATCAGAGTATGAGAGCTCGGGGCAAGCATCTACACTATGGGAACGTCATTTGCCAGTAAAAATATGATAATTGGTTTTTACCCTTCTATCTGGCAACAAAACTGACACCTTTTTACAAGGAGTCATGTTTGCATAGACCGCAATACCTGCAGTCATAATACAAACATAAGAACATAACTCTGATAATGTGCACTTTCCTTGAAGTTTATTGGTCCACACCCGAGACAGCTTTCCTTAGAGCCTAGTCTCACATGGGTTGGACCAGATGACGCCAAAAGGCGCACAACTCAAAGACAATGCACCATCAGAGTATGAGAGCTCGTGGCAAGCATCTACACTATGGGAACCTCATTTGCCAGTAAAAATATGATAATTGGTTTTTTACCCTTCTATCTGGCAACAAAACTGACACCTTTTTACAAGGAGTCATGTTTGCATAGACCGCAATACCTGCAGTCATAATAGAAACAAAAGAACATAACTCTGATAATGTGCACTGTCCTTGAAGTTGATTGGTCCACACCCGAGACAGCTTTCCTTAGAGCCTAGTCTCACATGGTGTTGGACCAGATGACGCCAAAAGGCGCACAACTCAAAGACAATGCACCATCAGAGTATGAGAGCTCGGGGCAAGCATCTACACTAAGGGAACCTAATTTGCCAGCAAAAATATGATAATTGTTTTTTTACCCTTCTATCTGGAAACAAAACTGACACCTTTTTACAAGTAGTCATGTTTGCATAGACCGCAATACCTGCAGTCATAATATAAACAAAAGAACATAACTCTGATAATGTGCACTGTCCTTGAAGTTGATTGGTCCACACCCGAGACAGCTTTCCTTAGAGCCTAGTCTCACATGGTGTTGGACCAGATGACGCCAAAAGGCGCACAACTCAAAGACAATGTACCATCAGAGTATGAGAGCTCGGGGCAAGCATCTACACTATGGGAACCTCATTTGCCAGTAAAAATATGATAATTGGTTTTATACCCTTCTATCTGGCAACAAAACTGACACCTTTCTACAAGGAGTCATGTTTGCATACACCGCAATACCTGCAGTCATAATACAAACAAAAGAACATAACTCTGATAACTTGCACTGTCCTTGAAGTTGATTGGTCCACACCCGAGACAGCTTTCCTTAGAGCCTAGTCTCACATGGGTTGGACCAAATAACGCCAAAAGGCGCACAACTCAAAGACAATGCACCATCAGAGTATGAGAGCTCGGGGCAAGCATCTACACTATGGGAACCTCATTTGCCAGTAAAAATATGATAATTGTTTTTTTACCCTTCTATCTGGCAACAAAACTGACACCTTTTTACAAGGAGTCATGTTTGCATAGACCGCAATACCTGCAGTCATAATAGAAACAAAAGAACATAACTCTGATAATGTGCACTGTCCTTGAAGTTGATTGGTCTCTAATGGTGCATTGTTTTTGAGTTGTGCGCCTTTTGGCGTCATCTGGTCCAACCCATGTGAGACTAGGCTCTAAGGAAAGCTGTCTCGGGTGTGGACCAATCAACTTCAAGGACAGTGCACATTATCAGAGTTATGTTCTTTTGTTTGTATTATGACTGCAGGTATTGCGGTCTATGCAAACATGACTACTTGTAAAAAGGTGTCAGTTTTGTTGCCAGATAGAAGGGTAAAAAACCCATTATCATATTTTTACTGGCAAATGAGGTTCCCATAGTGAACATCTGCACTGAGACGACAAAGGCGGCCTGGCGAGGTCCTGGCCACTCCATCCGCCCTCGTGCCGCGCCAGACGTACTCAGCGCTTGCACACAGAACTCAGTCGCAAGAAGACGTGACAACTATGGAGGGGCATTTGTCGTTGTGTCAACATAACGAAAACCTTTATTTAAACTGGAGGAATCCGATGTAAAGATCTTTTTCACAGGTGTTCAGTAGTTTCACAGATGTCCATACACACGCTAGCATATGAGTATGGATGCAAGGGTGTGTATCCGTGTAACTGCGTATGAACGTGTTTGGTCCACATGTGTTTCTTTGGCCACACCACGTCGTCGTTTTATGCAATTTGTCGTGTCATTAACCCTCCACCACCGGACGACATCCTCTTGGTTCTTTCGGTAAAGTCACGTAGAAGGGAAATAATAAAATAATAAAAATAAAACATAATAAAATACAATTCTCACGACGTTTCGACCACAACGCAAGCAGCCGTCCACGGACGGCTGCTTGCGGACGGCTGCTTGCGTTGTGGCCGAAACGTCGTGAGAATTATATTTTATTATGTTTTATATTTTTATTCTTTAATTATTTCCCTTATACGTGACTTTACCGAAAGAACCAAGAAGATGAATCCCTGCAGTCACAAAAGCTTTAAATAGAAATTTAACCACCGGACGACAGTTCGCCACGATGGTGAGATGGTAACTCCCTCGCCTGATATACAGGAGGTCGTGGCTTCGATCCGGACCTTGAAGGCTGTATATTTGTAGTTTGCGTGTCTCTATCCTCGTGATCGCGTGGATTTTTTCCTCCGGGTCCTCCGATATTCCCCTCCAAATTCAAAATCAACGTTGCGTTTAGATGATTTGGCTGCTGTACATTTCGACGTTATGATAAGCCACTTCGTTGAGCTATCTTTTGTGGCCATGTGGCTTCTGCAGAAAAAAAAACTAGCTGTAGAGCTCAGTGGACCTTACCTGGTAAAATAAAAAAAAACAATGTTTATAGTTTGAGTTTATAATAGTTTATGTATTTGCTCGTTTGTATTTGCGCACGTGGGCAGGACCCGGCACCGATCATGAAGCTCGGGACGCTCCTCCTCTTCGCCGTGGCGGTGATGCTCCCTCCTCGCTCGGCCATCTCCGTCGCTCAGCCTCGCTCCCTCCGAACACTCATCAAGCAGCAGCAGGACCAGCAGCAGCAGCAGCGAGAGCATCGTCAGCAAGAGCAGCAGCAGGGTCTGACCTCTCCGTGGCCCCGAGTATCGCTGCTCCAACGTGCGGTGCAGCGACCTCCTCCTCTGTTAGAAGCGCACGGAAGTGCCGTGCCCTGGGACCGCTTCTCGGCATCCGCGCGCCTCCTCCCCTCTCTCTGGCGAGTCGGCGACGCGGGCGGCGGCTACGCCGAGGACGGTGGCGATTACGGAGGGCAGGGGAAGGAGACGGAGGATGGGGGTGGCGAAGAGGTGGGGGAAGCGGAGGAGGAGGAGGAGCGGCGGCTTCTGCTGGAGAAACGCGGGGAGGTGCCCACGTCGCTGGACCTCACCTTCCACCTGATGCGGGAACTGCTGGACGCGGCGCGCGCCGAGAAGATGGTGATCCAGGCGCACAGCAACAGGAAGATCATGGACTCTGCGGGGAAGTGAATGATGATGATGATGGCGGCGGTGGTGACACGTTGGGTGTGTAGGTGCGTGGGTGGGTGTCTAGACGTGAGTGTCTTTGTGCAAGGGATACTTTTTTGGCAGACTAATGCCCTATTGTAGGCTTGTGCCGCGTACAACATAATATTATCAATAGCACAGGGGACAGCTGCCACTAGGGGTCCCCTTGGCTTGGCTGCAGTCGAGAATTTGAATGCTTGATATGGGACAGGCGCGTTGTGGTGTGTTTGCGTGGGAGAGTGCGGTGGGTGCGTGTCGGTGTGTCTGTAGGAGTGTGTCTGTAGGAGTGTGTCTGTAGGAGTGTGTCTGTAGGAGTGTGTCTGCGTGTGCGTATGTGCGCTGCGGTGGCGCAGTGGTCCGTACACTGCGCCACAAACCCATCCGAGTTCGACTCCTGCTTGGGGCCAACATCAGGAGGGAATAGCTGGGCCTCCAATGAAGATAATATTGAGTCGACGCCTAGGTCGACTCAGCCTTCAATGAGTTCCCGAGATTGTGTGTAAACATCACAACTGCTGGGACAAAGGCGGTCGGGCGTGGTTCTCGCCACGCCAACCGCCTTGTGTGCCGTCTTGGTTTTTGCACTGATGGCAGTTGCCCTCCCAGAGGGGACTAATTTGAGGCTGTAGTCGACCTAGGGGAGGCCCAGGACCGGTTCAGATAATCGTTGCTGGTGTTGGCCGTGAGCGGAAATCGAACTCGGGTCGCCGGGTTCGTAGCGCAGCGCGCTGGACGCTACACCGCAGCTCCCCGAACAAACACACACACACACACAGACACTGACACACCCATACACACCTACATACACACAATCGCACACATATACATACACACTGACACACACACACGCACAACCACACGGACGCACACACACGCGCACTAATGAGTGCACACGAATTTGAAATTCGGCCGAGCGATTGACGGGCAAATGTTCTACGAATGCATTTAAACATTTAAACATAAACCCACGAACGCGCAGATCTGTGATCATCCAGCTGGTTACAGCATTCACGTAATATTATCTACAGGGGAGATTGATTCATTTAACGGCATTGTCTCCCTTTCGGATTACGGTAATCCGACAGATTAAAAACGACGTCTCATCAGTGTGAGTTTGTTGAATAATATAACAATGTTCCTGGTTTCGACTGTGCTCAGACTCATCAGCAATGGTTGGAATCTCAGACAGCCACGCGGCCGGGTCCCCTGATGTTATCAGCAGGATCCTTCAAACGGCTCCATCTTCATTGGGTATCAGCAGCAAAAGTGTAGCCTTTTAAACCAATGCCCATCGGGTGGCACTGATGTTATGGACAGGATTCCTGAACCGGGTTCATCTTCACTGGGTATCATCGGTAAAGGTGTAGCCTGTTAAACCAATGCCTACCGACCAGACCAGTCGTTTTTAACATGCGGTAGCAATACCGCCTTCCGGTTCCTTCCGGTCGGCACGAGCCTCAGCTCAAGGGAAGCGCTGCGACGAACGACCGACCGACGGACGGACGCACAAAGTTATTTCTAATATACGAGGAGTTGCATTTATTTATTTATGTATTTATTTATTTATTGAATCTGTTACACGCGAGCGGGTGGGTGGCCAGCACCACGCTCGGTCGTCTTTGTCTCCTCCCTCGTGGCGGTTACAGCGCTCGACTCACAGATCCGTAAGGTCGCGAGAGTTCAAACTTCTGGTCAGTCGCCAGGTCACGCGACTCCGCCTGGCGTCGATGAAACACGTGTACCACTTTGCGCAAAGGTCGGCACGCTACAGCAGTTTTCCCCTTTAACATTGCGTCGCTCTCCAGTCCCCCACACCCCACCCCCTCCCTCCCCCCCGCAATGGAAACGTGGAATTTCCACCACCTTTGTTTCGCGTGAGCTGAAGAAGGCGGGAGGTGTCTTGGTGGCTGAAGCCATTGATTGCCGCAATGTTGATTTATTATAAGCAAATACATCAACATCGCTAACACCACGCGACTTTTTGACCAGTTCCACAAACAAAAAAACCCTTAGATTTAACACGTACAGTAATAGTAGTAGGCTTTCGCGACCAATATAATCCATTAGAGGTGTTTTTGGATTAGATCACGTAAATATAAATGCGTCGTTAAACCCGCCTGGATATCTGTTGATTGTTATTTTTATGACGACATTAATGCCCCTCCCTCTGGCCTCGGCACCCGATTGGCTCACAAGTGACGACATCACATTTATATTTATCCCTCGATTTAAGACCGAAGCAGGGGGAGGACTTCTCCACAACTCTGGCTGTCGCCTGATGATGCTAGTTGTAATTACCGGCGAAACGTTGTACTCGGATTGTAAACGCTGTGTGTTGTACGAGTAAAGAATTGGCATGTTTTGTTTACGTGACAAACCTTACTAATGTTGGGTGGTGGCGGGTTTAACAACACATTCATGTTTATGCGATCTAACCCAAAAATCTGTATTATCTCCCTTTTTTCTGGGTTCATAGTGCATTGTGCTAACCATTGTACCACCGCTCTAACCGCCATGGAAAAGGTAACGACATCTAATTAACTGGGACATACACAGAAAACAAGCTACCGCTTTGAAACGAATACTGTATTATTATCGCGCTGGTAAACGGACCTTCAACAATTGTACGTAAAAAAAATCCCCAGTTTACTATTAATGCAGTACAAACAAAAACGGGATGGCCACGATCATGCAAGCCTTCATCCAGCAGTGGCTAGAGCTTGCCTGCTGATAACGATTGCATTAAATTATCAATGTGTCAACTGTTTGGCTCTTATAGTAGTAGGTTTTTACCCTTTAAACTGGTACAAAAACTGACACCTTTATACAAGGCATCATGCAGTCAAAATGCAAACAAAAAGAAACAACTCTGATGATGATAATGATATGTATCATTGATAATGATATGTATCATTATCATCATCAGAGTTGTTTCTTTTTGTGATGATAATGATATGTATCATTGATAATGATATGTATCATTATCATCATCAGAGTTGTTTCTTTTTGTTTGCATTTTTACTGCTTGTGTTGTGCTTATTGCAAACATGATGCCTTGTATAATGGTGTCAGTTTTTGTACCAGTTGAAAGGGTAAAAACCTACTACTATATTTTGCCACTGGTAAAGGAGATGTCTCATAGTGTTTGGCTCTTATTCAGTAAGCACGCACCAACCCCCCCACCCGACCCCGTTCCTATTAGTCCGAAAGCGATTCTGGATGGGACCACGTGGTGCAGGGTGACCGGGACGAGCAATGCAGCAGCGGAACCAAGGGGTCAGCGACCAAGGGGAAGGCCTCAAGCCAGATCGATAGTGATGGTGTTGAGACCGTGAAGGCGGCCCTTTGGAAGCACCACATTGACCGCGAAATATCGGAGGAAAACCTCAACCCAGATGGTAGCGGCGATGATGATGATGAGACTGCATGCCAGAGTGGTGGTTGTTGAATGTGGTTGTGAGGAGCGGTGGTGGTAGTGGTTAGCAACTACGCTGTGCCATGAACTCGGCCACCCGAGTTCAATTCCCGCTCACGGCCACCAACACCAGTGACGATTATCTGAACCGGTCCTGGGGCTCCCCTGTGTCGATTCAGAATGAGTACCTGGCGGTGCGCTGTGTAAACATTGCCACTTGGGAGACAAAGGCGGTCGAGCATGGTGCTGGCCACCCAAGCCGGCCTCCATAGCTGGTGCTCGCTAACAGCACTTGCCACAACAGTCTGTTAAGGGTAGTCGGATGGGGGGGAGGGAATCGTTGGTGAATGTGGTGGCGATTGAGGGGGGGGGGGGTAAATAGGGCAACGCGTTCTCTGCCACCAAATAGCTCTGTGTCGTTGCTGTTGCCTGCGGCTTTTGAAACTTCACTGCATTGCGTATAAACGTCTGTGCTGCATACCACTTCGTGAATATTGTAACAGTGTCCCATACACACCACATGCACGTATGGGGCTGCTCGGAAAGTTCAGAGTCTGGCATTGTCTCAGGGAGGAAGGAGACACGTTGACAACGCGCAGGACAAATGGGGAATGTTGAGTTGCATGTAAAGTGTATTTTTTTAAAGGAAGGAATTTTTCAGAGCAGAACATTTCAGTTCCGGGTTGTCCGTGTTAAAAATTGCAAATGCAAAAATATGAAGGAAAAAAAAATCTGACAAATTTGACGTCGACAAAAATCTGTGAAAATGCCGTAACATTTTGGGGTTAATTCTGAATACATGGAGAAAAAATGTGGAGAAATTCCACACAACAACCAGGTAAATTTGCACACGTGAGAGGTCTGGAGAGAAGAATGTGAAAAAAGTCAGTAAAGCATGATTAATAACGAATCTGAGAAAACAGAAATCTTGAGAGATATCACACTCACCAGACCTGGCTCTCAGTGCCTTCTACATGTCTCCACAGAGAGTGAAGTGATTTTATAGCGATGACGATGATGACGTGGCGTGAGCCGTGATCTCTGAGAGGTCCAACGAGAGGGAAATGTATTCCGAGCTGGGATTTAAACTTTGGGACATCAATAATGACGACGATGATGATGATGGCGATGAGGACGATGGTGACAAGGAGGATGATGATGGTGGTTGTGACGGGTGGTGACACGGCCGAGCGGTAACACGTGTTCGTCGCTTGCTGAAGATGTTCCCGGTTCAAAATCCAGCGGCTGCCCCGATTATTACCTCGGGTGTAATAACCATAAATAGTAACAATACTATGCGCCGTCTGCTTTACGGTGGACTTCAAAGATCACGTGACATCGTTTGCAAGAGCAGGCCATTTGCATGTCGGCGTCATGGTCCATGACTTGCCAATGCAAAAAAAATAACAACCCGCAAATGAACTCAATTGAAAGCTACGTGGAAATCATCGCCCCCTACTACGAAAACGTGGCAGGGCTCTCCTGAAAAAAATCCGTGACAACTAAACTTAACAATTTTATTACATTTTACCATGTAAGGCCCACTGAGCTCTATTTCAGAAGCGACCTGGCCACAAACTGTAACTCAGCGAAGTGGCTTATCACGTGGAAATTAATAGCAGCCAAATACTCTCAACGCGTGTTGAGGACCCAGAGAAAATTCCCCGCAACCACGGGGGGGGGGGGGGGGGGGGGGGAGAGAAAGACATGCAAACTCCAAATATCGAGCGGGCATCAGGTGTCATGATTGAATCCACGGCCTCCTATATATCCGGTGAGATAGCTAACATCTCGACACACCTTCCTGGGGTAAACAGGAGTAATAACAACAATAACAATTCATGGACCGAGTGCTCCTCACTCCGAACAAGCGCGCTTCGTCAAATCTGAGCTGTCGCTCGATTGGGCCATGGCACGAACGTCCCCATTGGAAGTCGACGCCGGTGTTCTCCATTGCAAGGCCCCTGGTGACACTTTAGTGCGGGCCTCCGACAGGACACGAAACGTGGCAGCCCTCGCACTGATGATGTCTTATCGGCGAAAGTTCCCACCACCACCACCAACCTCTGAAAATGAGTGAGGAAATTTCGATTTAAAGCTTTCGCGACTGCAGGGATTCATCTTCTTGGTTCTTTCGGTAAAGTCACGTAGAAGGGAATTTGCATATCAAGATATCCAAATTCCTTTGTCAAGGCGCCCCTTCCCCCCCTCCAACCCAGCTTAAATATACGCTGCCAAGCTTGGTGGTGCCCATTCAGACGCTGTCTTTCCGGCAGACCTGTTCTTCACCTGAGGACGGCTGCTTGCGTTGTGGCCGAAACGTCGTGAGAATTATTTTATTATGTTTTATTTTTATTATTTTATTATTTCACTTCTACGTGACTTTACCGAAAGAACCAAGAAGATGAGTGAGGAACATTGCTCTACGCGGCATCTGTACAGAGATAACATCTCGCAAGTAGCAAATTAAAGAGTTTCTTCGCTGTGCGTAGCGTGTGTACGAAAGCGCCGCTTTCTAAATGTCTATGGCGTGCTGTGATAAAAAAAAATATATATACACAAAGAATATTTACATTTTATAATAAACTCTGCCACCTATTTACGTTCTCTAGCGATAGGCACCTTGTGCAGTTGGTGACGAACGGTTTGCGCCTGAGGGTGAATAACGTGCATCATTGACGCACACACACACACATAGTATATAGATGTACCATGTTATCATGTTATTCGAGTAAACGACGATGACGAGACGACGATGCTGCTGCTGCTGATGATGTCGCTGTGTGGATATTAATCGATTAAACATTTGCAATCGGCTACACGCAGCGCGGACTGTGATCGAGATCGTGGATTTGTTATAGCCGCTGCGTACGGGCGGGGGGGAGGAGGGGGGGGGCGAGCAATGGACAGGAGTGCGATTGGTCATCATCACTCTTCATCATCAGCCAGGATCAATCCACTGCTGGATGAAGACCTCCACATGTCACCGCCGCCCTGTACGATCGCGCGTTGCAATAATCCACCCAGCGCCGAGCGAACGCGCTGTTAATCTTCTTAATCGCTCCGCCTTCCGCCGGGTGGTCAAACCTCTCGGACGCATTCCATCCCTTGGCTGCCAGCCACTCCGTCACTAGTCTTGAACATCGAACATCATTCCCTTGCAGCGACGAGCCCGGCCCTGAACGACGTTGACCCTCGCCTGTAATCTGCGGGTGATCTCTCACCCCACGTGTTCCTCTTGCCGCGCCTCTCGGTTCAATTCCAAGCGTGTGCGCGTCTCTCTCTCTGTGCTTCTTTGCACTCGGATACGTTCAGAGAGTCAAGCTGCATCGTATACTCTATTAAACCCCGCGTCTGCATTCTGTCTTCAAATAATCACCGTTGATTGAACGGCTCGTGTGGTTTTGTTTTAGCCATTCCCGGGTGACAATCGCTGCAGACTGTAATCACCTTGTCGCGATGTTAACAAAACTCAAGAAAATCTATTCCGTCCCCGGCGATCAATTCAACATTTACGAAGCCATTCCACCCCACAACCCCACCACCCCACCCCACCACCCCACCCCAACGCACCACCACACCACACCGGCCGCTTGCTCTACTTCTCCACAATCGGCCACCCTTAAACGACACCAACCAAAAAACGGCCTCTCTCTCTACTCCGCAATTTTTCCCAATACCCTTCTCAAAATAGGACCCATCTGTCCGACCGCAGCCCACGAGAAAACATTGCCCGTGTCACTTGGAGCTGTGGGCCAGACGACCGCAACTTTTCCGCCGATACTGACGGCTCTAATCGCTCTTTCTCATAGGACAGAGTGCTGGTGTGTCCAGGGCGGGGTGGAGAGATGGTTGAGGATGGGTGACAGGGGAAAACGTGTGGCACGCGTGGGTGCGATGGACCCCCCCCCCTCTCCCGCGCCACCCACGGCCCCCTCCTCCAACCCCCAACCCACCCTTGTGGAACTTTGCTCACCACGCACGGAAACGATCAGAGGAGAGAGCCACGGAGAATGTTTCGAGTCGAAAAGCCAAGCGAGTGGCTGTGATGCGGGCTGGACTGCACGCGGAGGGCTCGTAAGGTCAAGGGTGGCCGCACGCGCAGCCGGGCACGGCGCTCCAGCTTCTGTCGGATCGGGTGGTGATTGCATCTGGATTGGGGGGAGTGGGGGGGGACAAAGCAATATTTGCTCCCAGTAGCATCCCCCCCCCCCCCCGCCACCTTAACGCCGGCCCTATGCCCTTTGATGTCCGTCACGTAGTCCCGCAGCAGCATACAACACCTGTCATGGCAATAATATTGTAATGTAACAATAGAAATTGTTTAAATCTGTAACATGCCACACACTATGCGCTCAGAGAACGAGTCAAGAGGCGCGAGGTCGAACCACAGACGAGCGGGAAGCAAGC